GCCCAGAGGCCTATCTCCCAGATGATTCTAGATCTCTTCAAATTGACACTTAACACTAACCATCACAAATATGCTCTTAACCTTTTTCTTAACTAGTAGTGCCTAGAATTATTGACTACATTTATTTTCTGGTCACCCCAGTCATGGCAGGGACTGACACCTTTCATGGAGAGGACATAGAGCTAGTAGAGAGGACAGGATATCAGTATTGTAAATAAATCAGGAGTCTTTAAAAATGTAAGAAGAAGCAAAATCTGAGTAGAATATAACAAAATCCAAAGGAATGACATACTTATGGAAACAATAATGAAGAAAATTTAATCACTGAGAAGATCAAGAACAAAAAGGGCTAAAAAGTGTTGCCTGAGCTTAGCGATGAGGTCATTAATATTTCTCACTACGATGGTTTCAGTGAAATACCAGTGTCTGAAATAAATTCAGGAGTGACTACAATATTAAAAGATCTAAGTGTATACTCTACAAGAAGCTAGGATGTGAAAGGGAAGAGAAAGGGTAGCAATAGGGGAGGGAGAGGTGGAGGTAAGAGGAAGAACTCTCCCATAGCTTGCATCTGCAACATCCCTCAAGATTCATGTGTCTAAAGTATGGTCCCCAGTTTGGGAAGTTTGAGAAACTTACAGAGGTGGGGTCTAGTGCAGCATTTTCTGGACATGGAGACATGCCCTGGAGGCTCTTCCTCATAGTCTCATCATCTGCTACTAGGTACAAGATCTTGTTACTGATACAATAACAGCCTCACACCCAAAAGCAATAGGACAAATCAAACATGGATTGAACTTTCCAATGCAGTAAGCTAAAAGTAACTGTTTCTTTCATTAGATCATCAACTCAGGGTTTTCTCCCAGCACCCCTCTTTTGTGTATACATACTTGTTTTTAAATAAAGATTTAGCCACATGGAAACCTACCACCATCGAAGCTTCTTAAAGTATATACTTATACATTATAAAGAGAGAATAGAAGGAGTTACCCTGTAACAGTAATAAATAACACAAAAATATACTTGTAACTACAAGTGGTCTTCAACTTATGATGGCTCATCTTAAGATTTTTTTGACTTACGTGAGTATAGAGAAGCACTGCACTAACAATGGGTCAACAACACAATTGTTGACTCTAGAACTAAATTATATAACGAACATTAGATTACTTTAAAAAATAATATACTCACAAATGTCACATAATCTGTATTTTTATTAATGTCAACATCCATAAAACCTGTCTTCATAGTCAATATCTCTTCAAATAGATGAAGACCCATTATTTGTTAACACTTCACTTTTGATACTTTTAAATTGATCCAAATCTACATGAATACCAGATGATTAGGAGGTATTTCAATATAAAGTATCTCAAAGCCTCTTCTAGAACTGTTATGGTTTAGGTCTGAACGGCTTAGTTTTCAATGGAGCAGCATCAGAGCTGAAACCTTTGGAGGGTGATTAAATCATGAGGACTCCAACATCTCCAATGGATTAATCCACTGATGGATCCAAACCAGAATGGGAGGCAGAGTTGGGAAGTGGTAGAAATTTCAGGAAGTTGAAGTTAGCGGGAAGAAGCAGGTCCATGGAGGCCTGTATTTGAAGGGTGTACTAGGTATTGTGTTGGGACTTGTCCTCTCCCTCTCTCTGTTTCCTATATGTCATTAGATGAACAGTTTTCACCATACACTCTCACTGCCATGACATTTGGCCTCACTGTGCACACACACAGCAGAGGAGTCAGTTGATCATGGACTGAAGACCTTGAGCCAAAATAAACCCTTTCTCCATCAGGTTGATTTTCTCAGGTGTTTTGTTTGTTTGTTTGTGTGTGTGTGTGTGTGTCTCCCTTCCCACCCTGTAGTGTGTGCAAACAGATGTGTGTGTGTGTGTGTGTGTGTGTGTGTGTGTGTGTGTGTGTGTGTTTGGCACATCAACAGAAAGGTGACTAACGCAAATACTAAAGAATCAAGTACACTTTAAGAAATGCTTATTTCCAGTGAGTTGGTCCTCCTAGGATGACCTTTCATATATCCATATTTACTTATTTGGCAGTATTCTGAAGGTGTAGACTTTTTCTGGTTTTGGTGGTAGTGTTCCCTAGCTCTAGTTTCCATAGTAACATTGCATCTGAAACTATAAATACACTCTAAAAAGGCACACTTATGCACAGGTACATGTTCGCACATAAAAATGTCTTGATAAATGATGAATAATTTACTTTATGAGAAAATGGCTTATAAAGCTCACAAGTAGAGCTAGGGATGGCACAGAGGATAAAGTGCCTGCCACACAAGCATGAAGACCTGAGCTGGGACCCTCAGAACCCAAATAAAAGTAAGGTGTGGTGTTGTGCATCTGTAAGCCCAGCCCAGGGGTATGGGAAGATGGACTAGCAGACCCCGTGGAGACCACTGATCTGATCATAGCAATCAAGGAAGATACCTGCCTCCCCAGTGAGTACAGCCACCCACAAGCACATTTGTATATACCCACAAGCAAATACACTATACACACAAATGATTTTTTAAAGCTCACAATTTATAGTAAAAGATTATTAATGAAAATAATCTTTATGCTTAAATTTTCTCTTACTTGTAGAATAAAAAATAATCTTCCAGTAAGAGCCTGAGTACCACAGGCTCTTAACCACTGATCTGAAATCCTCATATTTAGTTGATGTTTTAGAACTATCTTTCCATTAAGGCAGACTTTATTCACTGTAGAAGTCATTCTGATTTGGAGCAGAGCAAAGTGGAGAAGCTAACAGATGGACTCTTATTGATTCCAATTGATCAATACTGAAATGTTTGATAATATAAAGCATTGTCAAGGATAGGATGAGGTTAAAATGGGATTCCAAAAGCCACTTACAAGTTAATGGTTGGGTTAACTGAAGATAGGGCCAAAATGACTAAATGGTATGATTTAAGAAAATTAAGATATTATGTCTTTAGTGACAATCAACTACAAACCATATAAACTAATCGTTAACAAACGTTGTACACTTAGAGATCTCCTTAGAAGTCCTCATATATCATTTTAGCATTTCAAACAGAAAATGTTCTGACTGCAATAGAGAAATACCAAATGGACCATGAAAATAAGAACTTTTACTATGCTGCAACTTACACCCTCGTTGTACAGAAGAGCTTTCATGTTTAGAATTTTGAAAATTCATTTAAGAAAACCCCACAAATAAAGGTTTTTCTTTCTCATTAGATAAAACTTCACTATTCTAAAAAGGAATATAACTCCTATACCACTGTTGTGACTATTAAATAACACATTTAAGAATGCTACAGAACACAGTTACAAAATTCATACAGGAATTCAAAGCCTGGTTTTCTGAATAATTGTGAAACTGGGAAAGGAACTTCACCCAAGTCTTATTTCATGCATAAAAATAGTAATTGTATTAATTTAGCATTTTATAAGGTGATCATATTAAGCAAAAAAATACATAAAGCACTTTGTACAATACAACCCATAAAGAGAGCCAAATGAAGGACAGGTCTCCAGCTATTATCATTCTTCAGGAGTAAAGCAGAGATAGGTAAGGAGATGTCCTAGGTAACACTACTGAATTTTTAGGTATTTACATTTACTAGATTTATAATGGCTGCATGTACGTCAAATTTTGAGGACTACCACTGAATTATAATTAGTCTTGGAAAAATTCTTCTAAAATATTTACCACATTTTCTTGCTATGTTAAGAGAAGTTAATGAAAATAAACTCAACTTTTAATGGTGTCTGGTACTAGTAACTGTCTGGATTATCTTAAAGTCCCAGTTTTCTGACTACAGGTCATATTAAATTTGAAATTTTGTATTCAGTTTGGGACAGTTAAGGAGATATGCCACCTGAGGTGTTTATCCAAAGAACAATTGAGAGCAAGGAGTCACTCCTAGAATCCAAGTTAAGAAGTGATTTCCAGGGCTGAAGAGATGGCTTAGTAGTTGAGAGCACTGGCTGCTCTAGCAGAGGTCCTGGGTTTGGTTCCCAGCACCCACGTGACAGCTAACAACTGTCCACACCTAACATACATGCAGTTTACCACTCAAAGACAAAAAATAAATAAAAAAAGGAATGATTTCCATTTAGTTCAGAGAACAGTGAGGTGATAAAATAGCTACTTTCAAATATTTTAACGATGTCATGTGCAAAAGCAGGCGGGTTTGTTTTGTTTTATGCCAGAAAACAAGACTAAAAACAGTAGCTTTTGCAGGTAAGTGGGTTAAACATGAACAAGTACTTTTATTATGTAACTGCCAAAGTTTATTTCAATTCTATGAGTCTATGATTTATGCTAAAATATGACTTACAGGGCAACATATTTAAATAAAAACTCTAAGTACTTTAAAAATGAACAAAAATATGATTTAGTTATTTTTCTTTCAATAAGACAATGATAAAATCTGTGATATATATTGGGGCTGGAGAATTGGCTCAGTGGTAAAGAGCACTGGCTCCTCTTGCAGAGGACCTGGGCTTGATTAGCAGCAGCACCCACATGGTGGCTAATACCCTCTTCTAACTTCCATGGATATTGCCCTACATGGGTGCACTTATATACATTCAGGCAATACACTCACACACATAAAATAAAAAAAAAATATATTTAAAAATCTGTGATATATATCACATACATATATACATATAGTAGATATACTTACTAATTTCTCAAATCAATTATTAAAATTCCCCTTTAAATAGATTCTTTAAAAAAAGTAATTTGGCATCAATTTCAATCTTTAAGATTACAATACAATGTAAACATTTTTTATTGTTAGCAGATACATTTCAGATATATCTGCCAATCTCAAGTTTAGATTAACATTTGAATTAAAATTACAAATTATGAGAAAGTCTAATTTGACTTAACTTCATGAGGAGTTAATAATTTATTCAATTTCAGAGTCAGAAATTCACAAAATCACTAGACACAAAAGAGAATTGGTTAAGAGGAACAAAGCATGTATTTTATACTAACCAATCAGAAGAACTGTTCCAACAGCTAAACCTCCACCTGTAAATGACATACAAATCAAGAAGAAAATTAATCTACAGAATATTTTACATTATATTTATCATAAAAGTTAGGCTATGTCAAGAAAAGGTACGTCAATAACTTTAAAAACTGCATTTGTGAACAATAGTTTAACTACCTTTGTCATATTTTGCTCAATATATATTTTGAAATAATTACATACTATATGTAATTATATATTGTGCATTACAATTACTTTCATGATATACAGTACTATCCCCCTTTCTTCTGAAAAGCCATGAAGCATTCAAACAACTGTGGCTAGGCACTGTAATGTTATATTTAGAACTTGTTAATAAATTAATAGTCAAGATCTAAATGTGCACAGTGACTACGAAAATTTTCACTTTAATATTCATCCTCAAATTTAGGAAGTCTTGTAGGAAAGAACCAATAACTAATGCTAATTCTTTTAAGATAAATTATGAAAAACAATATACCAAAGTCTAGACATATTCTAAATATATTTTAAACGTTAAATTAACCATGTATTTGCCATTTTAAACAAAAGAAAAACTACAAAATACATTTTCATGATTGTTAAAAATGTCTCTTAAGTATCTGAATTAGAATAGTTTCATCATAAATATGTAATTCAAATAATAAATCATTAAAAATCACTAAAATTTAAAAACACTAGAACTATACTAGAAGGCAAGAGAGTCCATTATGAATACTCCATTGTTTATCTCATTTGTAAAAGTATTGGTTTTAAAACTATTCAAAGCTGGTCTGGTGTGGTGGTGCACACCTTTAATCCCAGTACTTGGGAGGCAGAGGCAGGTGGATCTCAATGATTTCAAGGCCAGCCTGGTCCACATAGTGAGTTCCAGGTCAGCTGGGAGTACAGGGAGACCCTGTATCAAAAGAAAAAAAATAAAACAAAAACCAAAAACAACAAAAAACATTCAAAACTGGGGCTGGAGAGATAATTTAGCAGTTAAGAGCTCATACTGGTCTTCCTGCGTTCAGTTCCCGATATCCACATCAGGTGGCTCACAACTGCCTGTAACTGGCCTCTGAGGGCAGAGTGCTCATGTACACATTCCCATACACATGATTAAAAATAATTTTTTAAAAGTATTCAAAACTGTTGGACGACTGAAGATACTGAAGATACTATTATTAGTTTGGTTTGTGTGTTTGAGCACAACTGTAAAACATTTTGAAAAGAAAAAAGAAAAAACTCCTCAAAGTAATTTTGTAGTGGCAGATATTTGAAAAAACTTAATATGAAAAGTTCCTTTAGCAGTTTTTTTTGTTTTAAATTTCTTTGGTTTTTTGAGATAGGGTTTCCCTGTAGCCCCAGCTGGCCTGGAACTTGGTAAGTAGACTAGGCTGGCCTTGATTTCACAGAGATCCACCTCAACCTCCAGAGTGCTGGACTAAAGCCCTGTGCTACCACACATGTCCATCTAATAATGTTTTTTTAAACTTTGCAAATAAGCGTAATTGTTGTATTAAACTGAATTCTATTAACATGTACCCAAATAAAATGAAACATGGTGGCTATACTGATGATATATGAGATCAATTTTAAGACAATATGTAAAGCATGTCAAATAATTAGTAGTTTAAAAACTACTCTGTGTGTGTGTGTGTGTGTGTGTGTGTGTGTGTGTGTTTTATGAGGCAAGCTCTCATGTAGTTCAGGTTGGCTTCAAGCTCACTGTAGCTGAGGATGGACTTCAACTTCTGATCCTCTTGCTTCTAACCTCCCATGTGCCTGGATTTACAAATTTTTAATTGGCTCTATTAAAGGATTGAGTGCACATTTTAAGTTTACCTCCAGACAGTCTCCCACGTGTAGTATTTAAAATCTATACCAGACTAAAGACAACTTGATCACTGCTCAGTGAAAAATACAGAGAGAAAATTACACACAAATTCTCTCAAATTAACATAGAGAGAAATGCACATTATGGTCATAGTCATAAAGGATCTTACTATGATTTGCTTTTGGACAGATTAGACGAAATGCTTAATTTTAGTTTGTGCCAAAAAAGGCAGTTCCTAGCTTTTAAATTTATTTTTAACATTTTATATCATACTTTCCCATATGTAGATAAATAAGCGTTTAATACCTAGTGGCCATTTTGTGAATGTTTAAGGAGATGAACACTGTAATGTCTAGGCTAGAGTAGTTACTATAAATAAAAATTAGCTGTCTTTCCTGATCTATTTTCCAAATCTGTTTATGTTTCTTATCTAACTTCCAGTGGAATAATTGGAGAAGGAATCTTCAGTTTGAGGTAGGACCTCACCAGGTAGCCCAGGCTGGGCTGGAACTTAAGCAATCGTCTTATCTCAGCCTTCTGAGTATTGGGATTTGAGGCCTAAGCTACCATATTCAGCTATTTTTTTCTTCTTCTCCATTTTACCTTTTATAGTGGAATGATGTGAAGTTTCCCAGTGAAGTAACATGTAGAACCAGGGGTGTTTAGTAACAGCTACCCTTGACAAATCATTTAAAGTTTATTAATACTTGATAACTGGTGATCACTGTAACAATAATAATTAGTGAGACTATTTTCTATTAATGAATTAGCTATGCAAAGCACCATGCAAATTTGACAGGAAACAAATTTATTATTTTTTTGGTGAAAATGATTCCCCAAACTTTGCTTCTGCTAGGTCACCGCTCAAAAAATATATATCTTATGTTCATGAAATTCCTAATGCTTTGAAAATGTGAACATTAGTGAAGACAGCATCAAATGGGGAAAATTAAATGACTTGTATCAGCTAGAGTAGTATCTTATTGTGACTTTTCTTACAAAAGGCAAGTTTTTTCCTCCCCCTGCCATGAGTTCTAGTCTATAAATTTAATTTATTTAATTTTAGACTAGTTTTAGTAAGAGTGCTTCATTTTAAAATGTGGTCATATGGAATATATTTTAGCTCAAAAACTAATTTAAAGTTTTTACAATGAAGTTTTAGCTGGGTGTGCTACCACATGTGTCTAATCCCAGCACCTGGGAGGTTGAGGCTGTCACACTTTAAAGTCATCCTGGTTTATCTAGGAAATTCCAAGTCAGCCCGGTTACAGAGATTCTGTCTCTAAAATAAAACAAAACTAAACTTTAATCTGACACAGATAATGGCCTTCATAGATAAGCATCATTCCTCTATTCTTCCTAATTCAATTTGCGTGAGACACTTCAGAATCTTTCCTCAAAATATCCTTGTATAAAATACTTTTATATACCTTTCTTCATATACTGAGTTTGTAGCTGGACTCTTAACCAGAGAAAACATCACACACACACACACACACACACACACACACACACACACACACACACACACACAAAACCAAATAAACAAAAAGAAAAAAGCGAAAGCTACCAGTGATAACAGGATATTTTGGCATTTTACTTCAAGTCTACCAGCAATTCCATCTAACTTTAAGAGTCACATAGACTTTATACTAACAGGTCTCAATTAAAACACAAGTATCTTTCCCTAACGGCCCATAAAAAGTAATGGGCTAAGGATGCAATTATATTATCTCTGATTTCACCTCTGTGATTAAAACAAGCAGAAAAAAGGAATGAAAGAGGTGTCTTCTTAAAAACCATTAGCAGACACTGATTTGGTTTTTGAGACAAGGTTCCACAGTCTAACTGGCCAGGAATTTACTATGTAGCCAAGGCTGACCTCAAAATCATGATCTTCCTGTTTCCATCTCTTGAGTGCTGGGATTTCAGGTGTGCATCACCAAACCTGAAACACTTTAAGTCACTAAACAAACACTTGGTTTTACTTCTAGACCTCCTTAAGGCTATTTAAGCTTTTTCTTTTTCTTACTAAAAGTAGTGATAGAATATTCTACTTAAGCGCAGCAATACATGTGTTTGAAAAGTTGGATTTTAAAGTACCATTTCCATCAAGATTATCTTTATCTAGTTTACTAAAACTACTGCCAGACATGGTGGCACACACCTGTAGTCCCAATATTTGAGAGGCTGAGACAGGGGGACTGCTGCAAGTTTGAGGGTAGATGAGGCTACACAGTGAGTTTAAGGTCAGCCGTACAGCTCAGTAGTACAGTGTTTGCCTAGCAGGTGTAAACCCATGGGTTTACTGCTAGCACCACACAAGATCAAAACACCACCACCACCACCACCACCACCACCACCAACAACATTTAGCATCTTGTTTTAAAACAAAACAAAACAAAAAAGCAACACCAAAAAAGATCAGAAAATTTAAGATTTTTGTGATTAACTGTTACGCTATTTCTACCTTGGTTTGTGAAATATGAAGGAAAGAGCATTTGTATTTTACCCCATGGAAGCATAGCCAGTAATTTCAGTACTATTTTAATGGGGGAAATTTCAATCTCGAACACTTTCCCAAACACATCTCTAAGTGACAATTTTGGGGTAAATGGGGTGAAATTAACACACTACCTATGAGGGCTCAGAAATCATACCTTCTTTTTCAAAAATAAAGAAGGTAGAGGGGAAAAATATAGCAATCAGGAAAAATAACAGGGATTTATGCCAGTTCCTCTGGAATTGCTGTATAAAGGAAGGAGTTTGATTGAAATTCTACAGAGACATTTTTGGAAAAATAATATGTAAAAAACAAGTTAATTTTTTCCTTAGCTTATAGTAATATCCTTAACTATCAAAATAACGCTGTATATCAAATTAGATTTTGGTTATTTTGTTATTTCCTTAAGTTTTTAAATATCCTGACCTGTTATTATGACACAACTACTGGCTGGGCAAATATGGGAATCAAAGCTAGGGACAGGGATTATGACTCTGTAGATTAAATCACATGAAACGGTTTTTCATAGTAACAAAGAAGATATACTTTCCTAGATAACTTTCCTTAATTCTATAGCTACCTAAAATGTAATCAGAATTGTTAAATGTACAGTCCAGCCTTACTGCCTCCAAATTCACCCTACACGTGGCAATATAAGCAAACCAAAAGTACTAACCTTTTAAAATCTGTTTTGAACATGATAGCTATCATAGCAAGCTTCTTCCAGAGCACCTTGGTTGGACTATTATTTACCACAGGTCCCTACCTAATATCCCCCCTTGACTCCCCAAATTGAACAAACTGAACAGACCAGGAGTTAGGTCATCCTTCCTTCAAGCAGACTATAACCTTTCCAGTCAGGTTCTTTTCTTTTTCTGAAATGTGAGTATGATACTACCTAGTTCCTCAGATAATATAAATGTCCTGGAAAGGACAGGTTGAAAGCTTGGATTAGAAAGTCTAAATATTTGGAAAATTTAAAGATTGCCAAATTAGGAAATTTATATGAAAATCTAACAATAAAATTAAATTGTCAGGGCCAGGCGTGGTGGCGCATGCCTTTAATCCCAGCACTTGGGAGGCAAAGGCAGGCTGATCTTTGTGAGTTTGAGGCCAGCCTGGTCTACATAGTGAGTTCCAGGACAGCTGGGGCTACAGGGAGACCCAGTCTCAAACAAACAAACAAAAAAAAAGACAAAAAAAATTTAAATTGTCAGAAGTTAATGATTAGATCATTCTTAAAAATGCAGATAGTGGGACTCTGTAAATATATAAGACACTTTGACATAAACAATGGAAGTAACTAACAGCCTAGGTGATGCGTTTCAAGTATACAATGCAACTGTGTTTAAAATGACAATGAGGTCAGGTGGTACCACTGTACCAACAGGTGGTTGCAATACAACAGTAACATGTTAGGCAGTAACCACATAATGTTTAGATCACAATGTCAAGGTATAGTCACATCATTATCATTCAAAATATCTTACTATTACTACATTTTATCACAATGTGGTCATAATAAAGCTTGTCACAATCTGCATGAAGTAATATTTGAATATTTGAAAATTAATGATATAATCTGAATTGTTTATAATTACTTGCATACACATCTGCAACAAATATTTCACTTTCAAATAATGTTTTAATGAAAAAGAAATGCAAACTGTTTGCTTCGGAGGACTGTGTAAGACAGAAAATGGAATTACAGAAATGTCATTAAGTAGTTAACAACTGAATACTTCTGGATAAATTTATTATTACAAATGTAGTAACTTATAATAACCATTTGAATTTCTGTGTATAAAAATACACAGAATTGATTTCCAAAATTAACTGCACTTATGCAAAACATTATTACAAAATTTCAACAACTGATACTATTTCAATTGTCCTAGCAAACACTAATTTTTAGCATAAGTTTTTACAGTCAAATGCTAAACTCTTCTGCCATCCCAGCAAATCTCAAAAATCCAAACACGATTGTTCAAGTACATGTCTCTGCAGAAACACTTAGAAAGGTACATAGTTCTTTCTGGTTTGAAGATACTGTAGTTAAATCATTAATCTTAAGTTCAGCAACCAGTTAAAACTCCCTAAAAATAGTCCTCAAAAATTTGCAATAGCTGTACGGTTAAGTGCAAAGATCACTAAAGGCGAGCCTAAAGATCAGCTCACATGATCAGGATTTTTGTGAATATTCGCACCACTTAATTTCTGAATCAGTTTTGGAGCTGAAATGCCAACCTCCAATCTTCAGTTTCACAATTTCTTGTCTAGATTTCTTTTTTCCTGTGTGCAATTTTTCTTTCAATCAAGACCTTATTAAGAACCAGGCTCTGTATTAGGCACATTCTGCTATTTAAATGAGGAAATAAAGGCATAATACTAGAAATGTAGCCTTTGTCTGTAGAGAGTTTGATTTATTATGAACTGAATAAAGGCACTTAATCCCATTTAATTAAAATTGTGGACATTTAAGGAGTAGCAGGAACAGTAAAATAGACTAATCATATTAGATTGGTAAGAAAGATTTGCTGGGTAACTAACACTTAGACATTAGTTAATTTTTGTTTGGATGATACTTCATTAAAACTGGTCACTCTTTTCTAAGCTTTAGGATCAAAAGTAGGATACGAACCGAGGGTCATAAGGAAAAAAAGTGAAATAAATATCTGCTAGCTATATATTTTGAATCACTTCTATTTCTGGCATCACAGAAGTCAACAGATTTGAAACAATCATGTGAAAATACTGGAATTTATACAGAAGCAATCAAGATCCACTCAGGACATCAAATAACAGAATCAGGAAGTCATTCACTTTCTGATAGGTTGCTTGCCTTGCTATTTCCTCTGCACTAAACCTACTTGCAAAGCCTGGGGCTGGAGGGGGTGAATTACGCAGAAAATAAAATGTCCAGTGAAGTACCAGAGCAAGCAATGGCAATTTTAATATATTATGAAAGTGTACCAGATTTCACAGATACATAACAGTATGCCACAAAGTTATGAAATGTAATCACATACCAGTTTTAATGAATCAGCATTCATACAGCAATTAACTATGTGCTACCAATCTAACCCAGACCATCTTTTCAACAAGTCAGTTCTATGAAACAAATATATTAAAAGATTTCTTATGAAGAAATCCAGCGATGAACATATTTAAGACAAAGGTAGAACTATCTAAATATCAAGCAGTGGCATTAATTACTTTGAGTCTTTAATAAAGCCAACAGGGTTTAAGCTACAAGGGGATAAACAGGCCAGTGATGGAAAAGCGGGGAATACTTTCAGTATTTTCTAAAGAAGCCTCTCTCTAACAACGTTAAAATCTTTTGTAGGTTAGTCCCTGCTTCGAGATAGCTAGGGCTGGTAGATGGGTGTAAGAGACTAGCAGAGGATCCTACAAGCCTTCAACTCCTTTCTATATATTGTTTCTCTTTCACCGGGAATCACTTCAGGGTAAAAGGATGTAGGGAGTACATGGTCATCTAGAAACTGGTTGCTGGGAGCAGGAATTGAAATTGCGGGTCATCAGGCGCGTTTAGTGCATAGGTCTTGGCTCCTTACAAACTCCCCATCTCTATGCTTGTGAAGAGCAGAGGGGAAAGGGACAGAGAAGAAGCGGGGCTGGGCATGGGGTGGAGCTGGCTTCCCCGGGAGGTCCCTCCCTAAATTTTCCCTGGGCTGTGCCCACATCTTCATTCTGAACCGACCTAAGAGCTGGTCCAGGGCTGGGAGCCCGGTAGATACCAGCAGCTGTCCATTCCGCAACGACGGTCGTGTGCCCGCAATGGACAGCAGCCGAGGGCCGCCGTCTGTCCCACCGGCCTTGCCCCTCCTCTGGAAGCTGGTGATGCCACTCCGGCCGGCCACGGCTGCCACAGACCCGGAGCTCCCGAAGCCAGTGCCGCAGGTGGCTGCCGCCGCCATCTTGGAGCTGATGCGTTGACCCAATAGGAACTCTGGGAACGCGAACCACCAGCCTATCAGAGCCAAACATAAAGTCCCGCCTCCTCGCCATTGATAACCAGTAGAAATGAGACTTCCCTCACTGGCCAACCAATCGCAAGGCCTATTGCTGAACAGTGAGCTGTACGTAAAGACTGCGTGCTAGTGCGCGGACCCAGGTGAGCCAGGGCCCACCTGAGTCTCCGACCCGGAACTTCTGCTGAGCTTTGGGGCCAGAGGTGGGTAAAGTCGCTCGGCGTTCTTCCTGGTCTGTCTGTGCCTTCATCCACGCTGACTTAAAGTCTAGAGAAGCGATTCGCCCTGGGGCTCTCAAGCCCCTGCGAGGTGCAGCTTGCATCTTCTCTGCTGTGTAATAAAGAGAGGTGCTTCCCGTGCCTCTTTGGTTTCTGTGCAGTTTGCCCCTCCAACCCCTGGGATCTTTTCCGTAATGGCTGTGCTGAGTGGAAAGGAGGAAGCACCTCTGAGAGTTTGGTGAGCGCCTGGCTGAGTCCTTAGTGCCAGGGATAGGTGGCTTGGATGTTGCACCTTACTGAGAAGACTCAGGAACTTCGAGGCCATTGGATATTCCCTTGGTCCCTCTCTAAGTCCCCGTGAGAAGCTTTCGTTAATTTTAATTAGGGTTTCTGGAAATCTCGGAACGTCATTCCTAAGCGATGTGAATGACAAGTGTTATACTGACAACCTTGTTCACACATTTAATTGTCGCTTTCTGTTCAAGCAGCTGCAAATAACGGGAAATACTTGAGATTTCTCTCCCCGAAAATTTGAGAATTAGGTTTCTGTGTACTTATTTTTCTGTTGATTTGTGAAATCTGAATAGAAAGGTTTCTTACTATAATATCAATCTTATACGTGGGAGGAAAAAAACCATGCAATTTGGAGCTGTTTGTGAATTTTAATATTTTTCAAATGAGAATTGGAGGAGGAATCAGTCAACTGAATTTTAAAGACATCCATGATTGAGCGATGCCAAAACCAAGAACCACTCCAGAGTCAACACCTGCATCACTATATTACTATTGATAGTGATTGATGATTATTGTTTTGAGAGATAGGATGTCACTACTGTCTAATTTGGCCTCTGTAAGTCCTAGGCTTATGCCATTCTACCTTAGCCTGTCAAGATTTGGAACTTCAGGCAGGTTACCTTTTAAATACATACAAACTGCACTGAAATTTTTGTCATTGAACTGATTTAAAACTTTATGACTTGCTGGAACTTTTGGTTGGTTCTGTTGAAAAGTTGCTAGTGACTGGAGTCTTGCTCTCTGTCCTGTTCAGGAATCCTAACACTCTAGAACTGAAGAGAGAGAGGATCAGGAGTTGAAGGCCAGCATCAGCTCCATGAAAACCTGTCTCAAAATAACAAAAAAGTCATATTAATTCAGGAAAAAGGGCAACAAATCTTGTGGTTTCACAATATATCAAGCAAGCTCTGATCAAGATTTTGTTCATTTCAAATGTTTCACCTGCACACATATTTAAAGTAATCAAATAACGTTTGAGGATTGTTTTCTGCTTCGAAAACAAAAAGCAAAACAACCCCTGAAAAAAACAATATAGTACTTAAAAAGAACATCATTCCTAGCCTGTAGTTCCAGCACTTGGGAGGCAGAGGCAGGCGGATCTCTGTGAGTTCAAGGCCAGCCTGTTCTACATAGTGAGTTCCAGGACAGCTTGGGCTACAGGGAGACCCTGTCTCAAAAAGACCAAAAAAAAAAGAACATCATCATCATTCCTAAGGACTTTGTACTACTTTTGTACTATAGTTATAAGCAATAAAGAACTTCCCCATTGAAAAAGACAGTCCAATATCAAAAAGAAGCTTCTTGAATATTTTGATAATCTGAAAATTTGAAATACTACAGATAATTTTTAAAAACTACTCTTGATCCTCTTGTTTCTTGTTGTCTTTACTTAAGACTTTAGTTTTCTTAAGGTAATGATAGTCATGCATTGTTTATTTTATTATTGGAAAAGAAGAATTTCTTTTTTAAAAGTATTTTATTATTTTTATTTTATGTGTATGAGTGTTTTGCCTGCTTGTATGTGAGTGCACCAGTGTCCTTCAATGCCATGGAGGTCAGAAGAGGGCTTGAGATTACCCTGGAAATAGAGTTAAGGATGATTCGTAGCCACCATGTGGGTGCTGGGAATCGAACCTGGGTCCTCTGTAAGAGCAGTCAGTGCTCTTAATGGCTGAACCATCTCTCTAGCCCCAGAAAAGAATTTCTTTCCAACTTTGATTGTAATTTGGAGAAACATGGCTACATACACAGCAAGCCATAACATGATTAGGACATATCCCTGGTGTAACAGTAATATATAATAAATCAGTCATTTTTTTGAAAATAAAAGACATTTGCTCCCAATTCATATACTTGAATTCCCTAGCATGTAGTAGATTTGAATACGAAACATTGGAATAAATAAGGTATTATGGGAGAGAAAAGTTCAAAAGTATGTTTAAGTGTGACATTAATTAAACATTTATTTAGTGCATACTGAATTTCAGAGAGTGTCATACAAGTGAGTTCAGGTTACAGGAGAAATTCTAGTCTGCTACACTTGGGGTTACAGTTGGGAAGGCAGATGAGTGAATAGGTTAGTAAAGTGTACAGTAGATACTAAGGAAGGGGAGTAACGGGCAGAGACAGACAGAGGGAGAGAGATGGGGGGAGGCTATTAAGTTTCTCATGAGGAGGCAGTTTAGTCTGATCTGGAAGGTATGTTAAAGCATCAAAAAGATCGGGAGGCTGACAGCATGGGAAGACTGTTCCTTCAGTAAATCTGCTTTCGTGCTTCCGTTTCAGTTCTCACTTTTCATACAGAGATAAAGGATATTGCCGCAATTTCAGAAAGTTCTTAGATTGTGTAGGTTTTTTTTGTTTTGTTTTGTTTTGTTTTGTTTTTTTGTCTTTTTGAAGCAGGGTTTCCCCGTAGCCCCAGCTGTTCTAGAACTCACTATGTAGACCAGACTGGCTTTGAACTCACAGAGATCCGCCTGCCTCTGCCTCCCAAGTGCTGGGACTACAGGCGTGTACCACCACGCCTGGCTAGGTTGTGTGTTTTAAGGTCATGGATTTTGATTTTTTTTTTCCCCCTTAAGGCTAGCAAGAAGTGGGAATCCTTGAAAAATTAAAGCTAAAAGAATAATGTAACAATTCTACTTCATCTTTGCGACATGGTTAGATGTGTGCTATAAGAAAATGAGTGGCTACGAGAATCCCCACACTCAGTAGGCAGAGGCAGGAGGATTGACTGAGGCCAGCCTGATCTACATAACGAATTCAGATCATTTAGACTACATAGTGAGATCCTGTCTGAAAAAACAGCAGCAACAACAAAAATGGGGTGAGTTAAAGAGCTACTATAGGGGCAGAATTGAGATGCCCAAGGAAGGTTGAAGAGGGGAATCAAAGAACCAGTATGTTTTTTGTGTAGAGCAACTTTGTGCACAATGGAAGAGGAGAAGCAGAGTTTTGTAGTTGTGGTATTGGTTATTTGGGGGAAAGGAGGTAGTAAATTGGGGATTTTATCTGTTTGGACATGTGTAAATTGAGGTAAAGATGGTGCATCCAAGTGTAGATGCCCAATACACAGTCTATGTGTGAGAAAAATCTCTAGGTAAACAATACAGATTTGAAATGACAGCATATGGTAACAGTACATCTCAAGGAATAAACTCATTGTCTTAGTTACTTTTCCTGTTAAATGCTCTGACAGAAGCAACTTGAAGGAGAAAGAGTTCATTTTGTCTCACATTTCAAGGATTGACAGTCCATTATGGTGAGGAAGTCCTGGCAGCAGGAGCCTGAAGCAGCTGTTCACATCCCATCTGCAGTCAGGGAGCAGAGAGTGATGAATGAATGCTTGTGCTCAGCTCATTTTCTTCTTTTTACATAGTCCAGGATCCCTGCCAGAGTATGGTGCCACCCATAATGAGAGGGTCTTCCCACCGAAATTAACCTGATCAAGATAATTCCCCCATGAGCATGGCCACAGATTTACCTAACCTAGATAGTCCCTCACAGATGTGCCCAGAGGTTTGTTTCCTGAGCAGTTCTAGATCTTGTAAAGTTGACAATGAACATCAGCTGTCATGCTCATGAAGGAAATAATGTATGTTTTATTTAGTATGAGAAGAAAAAGACCCACAAATAAACTTTTGGAAGCATCACCATTTAAAAACTGGGCAGAGGAAAAGAATTTAAGATGAGAATTGGGAAGCATCCATTTAATTTAATAATAATGATTTCTTTTATGACTGTCTTTTTTAGAAATTCTATTTATTATTTTTGTTTTATGTGTATGAATGTATTACCTGCATGTGTGTAAGTACACACGTGTTATGTGGTGCTGTTGAGGTCAGAAGGCGGCTTCAGATCCCCTTGAACTGGAGGTACTGATGGTTGATGGTTGTTAGCCACCATGTGGGTGCTGGGAATCGAACCCAGGTGTTCTGTAAGAGCAGTCAGTGCTCGTAACCGCTGAACCATCTCTCCAGTCCCCTTTATGACTGTTTAAAAGACAAATATCTATGGAGTAGTAGGTGTCATCAGTGAGTGGATAGACACAGCTCCATGCTGTCACCCTCAGAAGTCTGAGGAGTTCCCTTAATCCTTTAAGTACCTTAACTAAGGCCAAATTAGGATTCATGGCTTCAACCTGAACTTTATGCAGACCAATTTGAAGTACAGTTAAAGATTTTATTAAAGGTAATTTTAATACAGGCTTTAATCATGAGGATTAGGAAAAAGACAGACTCAGGAAAAGAAAAATGACTGGGAGCCTTCAACTGTCTCCAAGAAAGAGTTCCAGCAAAATAAAGTACTGGGGTCCTGCAGGGGTAATGGGCTTTCTGGTGAGATTGCTACAAAATTGCAGGTTTGTAGCTGGGAAGAGAGAAGAGTCCTAAGCAGTTGTTCATGGTCCTGGAACTCTCCATTCTCTCATTTCTGTAATTTTCCTGGTTTTTTCTATCCTGCTTTAATTATGGCTGTTGTCCTAGAACCATGTTTATTACTAAAGCAGTTTTCTGGATTTGGTTCATAGACTTACATTGACAAGCTGCACTTGGTCAAAGATATATAATTTCTTTTGTGTATTTCATGCAGAACATACGAAACAATCATATTGTTTGGTATTTTTATACCCACATCCCAAATGGCACCCTCCCATAGGCCCCCCCCCCCCCCCACCGGGGCCCATATACTCT